GAAGTGAGATCTGTGTTGACCACCCTTCATGATGCCATACATGGACAGAAACAACTTTGACTGACTGGTCAGTCCATCGGTCTTACTAAAGTAAAAACACTCTTACTGGGACTTACCGCCCAGCAGATCCTCTCTTCAGCTAACTACAGGAAAGGTCCTCACCGGCCTTTTCGCACAGTCGGGACTCCGCGTTCGCGAAATGCGTGCAAAGCCCCTCAAGCTCGCATAGAAGCCGTCAAAAAAGACGGTACCGAATGAAAAAGTCTCGCTCGGCCCCAATTACGAACAAACACGAACTTCGGGTATGAAATTTCCCTCCTCCGTCGGGCTGGCGGGACTCGCTCGCGTTCGAGAAACGAAATGCAAAGCCCCCAAGCTCGCATGCAAGCCCACAAGGGAACCGAAGAGAAGCTTGATAGACTTGAGTACTTCTTCTTGGAGGCATGCAACGGGTACAGCCCCCGAAGCAAAGCTACGCAACCCTAGGCAAACCCAAGCAAACCTAAACAAACCGAAACCCTCCAACAAAGCAAAGCAGAGCAGGGCCGAAGGTGCATGGCCACGAGGGAGGGGAAAGATCAATGGAAAGTAAAGCAAAGCAGGGCCCAACGTGCATGGCCACGAGGGAGGGGAAAGATCAATGCAAAGCAAAGCAAAGCGCATGGCCACGAGGGAGGGGAAAGATCAATGCAAAGCAAAGCAAAGCAGAGCAGGGCCCAAGGTGCATGGCCACGAGGGAGGGGAAAGATCGATCCAAAGCAAAGCAAAGCAAAGCCAAAGGCCAAAGGTGACGAGGGGGAGGAGACAAGCAAAGCAAAGCCAAGCCAAAGCCAAAGCCAAAGCCAAAGCCAAAGGTGACGAGGGGGAGGAGACAAGCAAAGCAAAGCAAAGCAAAGCCAAAGCCAAAGGTGACGAGGGGGAGGAGACAAGCAAAGCAAACCAAAGCCAAAGCCAAAGGTGACGAGGGGGAGGAGACAAGCAAAGCAGACAAGCAAAGCAAAGCAAAGCCCAAGCCAAAGGTGACGAGGGGGAGGAGACAAGTAAAGCGAAGCAAAGCAAAGCGAAAGCCAAAGCCAGATGGATGGATGGATGGACAGACACACAGACAGACAGGCAAGACGCTCATACACCACAATGATGGATGGATGGATGGATAAATGGATGGACAGACACACAGACACACAGACAGACAGACAGACAGACAGCCAAGACGCTCATACACGAAAGCATGGCCGCACACAATCATGGATGGATGGACATCCGGGCGGACATGCGGGTTGGGCGAATGATAGGACCGATGCAGCTAGCCGTATTCACGTACGTACGCGTCGACATACACCACTCGCAGGGTGGCAGAGAGGAAGAGAGGAAGAGAGGAAGAGAGGGAGATAGGCAGACGCCCGACAATAGTGCAGTGCCTCCGCCATAGACACACATGCGCACACCCATGCTTTGCTTTGCTTGTCTCCTCCCCCTCGTCACCTTTGGCTTTGGCTTTGCTTTGCTTGTCTCCTCTCCCTCGTCACCTTTAGCTTTGCTTTGGCTTTGGCGAGCTTTGCTTGGCTTTGGCGAGCTTTGCTTGGCTTTGTCACGGGACCCATTCGGCTGGCCCCCAGCTTTTCACTCAGCGCTTTCAGCACAGAGAGGGCTTTGCTCTGCTTCGCTTTGCTCTGCTTCGCTCATTGACCCTCCAGAGGAAAGGTTTGTCCGTTGGTTTGCTTTGCTTGGGCCGGTTTGGTAGGTTTGCTTTAGGGGCTGTAGCCGTTGCACTCTTGTCTGAGCGCGCCTGGCGTTCTGGTGCACTCATCTACTTGTGCGAGGGACACCTGTACAACATATGTGCGAGGGACACCTGTACATATGTTAATGTGGATCAGACATCACCCATGGTGTGTGTAAGTCCGTTTGATTGATGTAATCACGATCGAGTCCATCCCATTGGTGCATCCCGTTCAGCCCGCCGCCTCACAGATATGCACACGCACACACAGACAGTGACAGGAAAAATAGTCAGAGCACACACAGGTGCTGCAACCAACCCCCTCTCTCAATCATTGGCTCGTCCATTCATCGCTGCACACAGGCAACGCATCTGTGCAGCAAGGCAAACGCCACGCTCAGCCCTGCTAAGTTACTCACTCACATCTCGCCACCCCTCAATTATCTCCATCCCTCTCGTCAAACACACTCATAGACAGCCAGACAGACAGGCGCTCTCGGCTGGCCGCCTCGGCATCCGTCTGCTCTCACAATGAGTGGTCGATGACCATCATGTCGGCCTCCTCGTCCACCTCCATCATCTGCTCGTCGTCCGTAGGGGGCGACCCGATCGAGGCCATTGATGAGTTGGTGGCCGTGGGGGTGATGTGTGTGGGCTGGGGGAGGGGGAGGGGGAGGGGGGCGGGGACGGTGGGGGTGGGGATAGTGTGTGGCGGGGGGAACCCCCAGTCGATGTACGCCTTGACGACGGGCTGCAGCGCGGCGTCGTGGGTGAAGTAGGGATGCATGGAGAGCTCCTCAGCTGTGCGGCGTGACCCCGGCAGACACACCATCCTGAGGGCAAACAAACGCATAACAGACACACAGTGAGGACCTCTCTCTGTGTCTCCCTCTGTCTGTGGCTGCCTCCGTCTTACTTGGATAGCACGTCCAGCAGGCCCTCATCCCCCACCCCCCACCGCCGCAGCTTGGCCTTGATGCCGTCCGCACTGCTGACCTCGATTTCGCTAAACAGGCCCTGTGGGAATCCCATCGCCGCCGCCTCCTCGTTGCCCGGCCGTCCAGTGAACGTGAAAAGCTGCCGTGACAGCTGCGCTACGCCCTGCTTGGTGGCTCTGCCGAGAGGGAAGAGGTCCTTGGCGGCGTTCTTGCCCGTGGCCACCTCGACGGCCACGACACCTGTCTGGAAGATGTCTCCCTTCCTCTCATCATACCTCTGGAACATGGGTGAGCCTGAATGGACGCACCCATACATCAAGGACAGACCGACACAAAGGGATAAGGCATTGTCCATAGGGCATTGTCCCTTTCTCGCCTCTCTGTGATGTCCTGGCTGGCTGAGTGGATACCCTTGGGGTCGCTGTATGCCGCGTACGGCCAGGTCATCTCGGGCGTGAAGTAGCCCGGCGTGCCCCTCGCCCCCTGGAACCCCCGCCCACTCTCGGCCCCCATCGCCTGCTGCGCCTTGGCATGGACACTGAGGCCGAAGTCGATGGCGTTCAGCAGCGGCAGCCCCTCGATCTTTCTGCAGACCAGCAGGTTCTCCGAAGAGATGTCGCCGTGGGCGATGTCATTCTGGTGCAGGAAGGCCAGCATGCGGAGCAGCTCGTAGAGCACCGCCTTCGCCTCAAAGGCCGATACCTCCGAGCACCGCCCCAGCGACTGAGCCCCCTCCAGCAGTTCGAGCAGCAGCCACTGGTCCCCGTGCCGAGTGCTCTTGCTGGCCATGTGGTGGCCATATCGTCTGACGACGTTGGGGTGCCAGGCGCGGCGGTAAAAGCCGGGGGGTATGCTGCTGGCGATGGCCTTGGTCTCGGCAGCCGACTGCAAGACATCCAAGGCCAGCATCTCGTTGATGTTAGATGGGTGGACGGTGCTGCCCGCCGCCTCGTCCGGCTGCTGAGGGTCGTAGACTTTGAGTGCGAAGGAACGGCTCGGGTCGGCATAGGCTTTATCCTTGGCCTTGAACACGGTAGAATGACCGCCCGCGCCCAGCGGCCTCGCAGCGACCTCAAAACGCCCAGATGCAAGGGCGTTGTGGCCTTTAAAGGCCATCGCAGGGCGGTATGGATGGCCGGGGGGCGTCGTCAGGTGTGGCTGAAGAAGGCTGATGGACGGCAGGTGAGTGCTGATAGGTTAACGAAGAGCAAAACTCGGAAACAGATGACAATAGAGCTGAAAAGAGGGGCGACAGAACACGCTTGCATGCATGCACTGACCAGCGCTGGTCGTGGGGGCGGAAAAATCAGCCGTCTCACGTTTGGAACCGCTTACGGATTTGTCTTGGTGTTGCTTCTTCTGCACTGAGAGCGGCGGTTTGCAGTGCATTTTCGGCTCCATAGCTCTATACGCGAGCAGGTCCTCGGTATGGTCAGGCACTGATGGGGAGTCTGATTCTGGCAGACAGCACAACGCGGTGATCTTCACTCTGTTTTTATTTGTTAGTGGATTTTTGCTGTCGACTTTTCCATCGCATTCGTGCATCCACATGCAGACCGTGTGAAAGAGGCATTCAGTGCATTCATCCGGATTGCCCTTCCTTCTACTCTCCAATGCTGCTTTCTCACGTGCATCAACATACGTATGTGGTGAATGAACATGAATCATTCCAGCAAGTACTCAAACGTTCTCATCTCCTGACGCTTTGTTCCTCGATGCAATGCACACACACACAGACACGCAGTCCCGCCGCCCCCCTGCCTGACAGTCAGCTACTTGTGTGTCTTCCATGACGCCATTCAGGCTGCAGAACACACACCAACAAACACACAATGGAAACATAGATCAGGTCCTCTGCATCACCTCTGTGGCCCTCACCTCCTGTCTATGGTGCCTGGCCGTCGAGGACGATGGGGGCGATTGGGCCGAGGACAGGCCTCGCCATGGCGGCTGTGAGGGGGTATCGCTGTGCGAAGGGCGCATCATTGGCCACTCCTGCTGCCGGCGCCTCGGTGGTGACGATGGCGATGGGCACTGCACGCAAACGATAGCAGATGATCGGACAACATGACAGCAATGAGTATGTGTTGAGGATGTGTTGTTCTTTTCGGTGTAAGCGTACCATTCTGGTCGTTGAGGCCTTGGGGGACACCCAAGGCAATGTATGCGATGAAGGGGTCATCGGACGACGTCAAAACATGCGACTGCCCACACCCCACACCGACCATCTCGTATGTCATCACGTGTGAGCACTCGTGGAGGGGCGTGTGAGGCGATTGGGTCACGATGCGATCCAAATAACCACCATGCACAGCCCTGACACACAGATACATGTTTGAAACAGACCACGAGCGACCTGCCGTCCATCCACTTACCGGTCTACCGCCACCATTGGCGACCGGTACATGCCGCCAATAGCCCGCATCCGGTGACTCAGCACCAGGTTCTTCAACAGGGAACTCGCCGATGCGGTAACGGAGGCCCCGCCGTTGACACCACCCGTCATCCAGCCCACACCAGGCCGCCACCCAATGCGGCAGCGGACGGGTGGGTCGTGCGGCTTGGCGTGTTGCTGGAAGGGGTGGCGGGAGAAGGGATGGATGGGGCGGCTGGGGAGGGGGAGGGGCGGGTTGATGGTGACGGTGAAGCCGGGCTGATTGCGGATGAGGCTTAGCTCGTTGTTGTGGTGGAACAGTTGCAGTGTGCCGTCTTGCTGGCCATTGGGGCGACGGAGGGCCACACGGCGGCCGACGATCATCCACTGCGCACAGAATCGGGGCACCGATGAGTAGTCCTGCATTCAACACACACAGACACACACACACACACACACAGACAGAGAGCCATTCACTCATTGCCCCATTGCCTCTTCTCTTGTGTGTGTCGTGCTTACCGCCTTGGTGGCGTGTGTCTGCAGATCTCCGGCACCCACAGTGATGGGCAGCTGACAATAGCCGCACTGCTCGGCGAGTCTAATTGTATCTCGACCTCCCCCCAGCCGCCCTCGCCCCCCTCCTCCACCACCCAGGTGGCCTTCATGACATCGCCGTGGCTAAGCTGATCGTCGAACTGCACCACCCCGCCCACCCCCGCCCGCTCGATGGCCCTCCGCAGCCGAGTACGGCGGATGATGGGCCGCAGGGCGTTTCTGAAGTGGCGGGCTGTCGCCTTGAGTCGGGCGACGGCGGTGAAGTCAGAGAGTGCCAGGACGATGCTTATCGGCTCAGCGGGAATGTCAGACACCTGCAACCGCCGAGCCTGACGACACACACAAAGACACACATAGAGCTGTGTGTGTGTGTGTGTGTGTGTGTGTGTGGTCTCTCTCTCACCAGTGTGTGGGTGTGTGTTGTGAGTGCGATGGTCGAGTCGATGTCGTCCGCCAGCTGGGCCAGACGGGCCGATTCGTTGGCGAGTTGACGAGTGACCTTGGCGACCATCTGACGAATCAATGAGAGCACACGAGACACCATGACACGGAGGCCTTTGTGCTGTGTGTGGCAGTTTGGCCGCACCAGTGGTGTGAACGCAGCGGTGTCCATCTGAGTGAGTTGGCCGATGCCATTGTTGACCTGCATACCACAGCACACACAAACAGCACAAAGAAACCGATGAGCGACGGATGCACTGAATGAGTGAATGAGTGAGTGTGTTGGCTACCTACCCTGGCCTGATCGGTCTGATAGGTTTGAATCTGTGCCAGCAGCTGCTGCCGCATCGCCGCCGTTGACGTCTGCAGCAGACGTCACATGGCAAACAACAACACAATCAGAGATCTACGTGCTTTGCTTGGCCCCTCTTCTCTCACCTGAACAGCGCTGGCAGCCATCATCATCTGGGAAGGAGACGATGAATCAGACTGCTACTTCGGGACCTCACCAAGCTCTTCTCGCCTCTCTCGCCACCGCAACCCCCTCATTCTGCCCTCTCCTTCTCACTGCGAGCTTAGAGGTGCGATGAGCAGCTGCGAAAGTGATAGACCACGGCCGTCCATGTCAGCCGAGCGGTGACGTCAGATCAGCGGCCTATGATGGAGGCCGACGACAATCACGGTCAGCATCTGGATGATGTCGATGACGAGAGCCACGCATTCATCGACCCCACGGACGGCGTCGAGGCGGCCGTCCTGGAGGCCACAGAGGGGCTGGATGACTACGAGAACGGGTCAGAACACGAGAGGCGTCAATGAACGCATCCCATATCTCTGCTGGTTGTTTGCTTCTCTTTGTGTCAGGATGGATGACGGCGAGCCAGATGAAGGCGACGAGGGAGACGACCAGATGGACGACGCCTCTCGCTTATCCGCCGCCCTCCCCGCCCTCCCCGACACTTCTCTGCTCACCATCTCCTCCCACACCAAAGAGGTCTTCGCTGTCGCATTCGCGCCCACCGACCCGCGTCTCATAGTGACCGGCGGCTGTGACGACAAGGCATTCGTCCATCGGCTGGTCGAGCGGCCCTCTGACGGGCCCTCAGCGCCATCCAAGTGGGCAGCCGAGCAGGTGTGTTGTCTGGAGGGCCACACCGACTCTGTTGTGAGCGTGGCTTTCGGCTTTGACGGCAACTATGCTGCCACCGGGGGCTACGACGGGATTGTCAAGGTGTGGGCCATGCAGAGGGACGGCGAGGAACCGGCCTGGTCTCTGCTGCACTCTCTGGAGGGGCCTTCAGAGGAGGTGGAATGGGTCGCCTGGCACCCGAAGGGCCACGCACTCCTTGCCGGTAATGCATACCCACACAGCTCAATCCATCCATCCATCCACGCCATCTGTGTGTGTGCGTGACGGGTGCAGGTAGTCGTGACTGCACTGCGTGGCTTTGGTGGGCGCCGACCGGCAAAGTGATGCAGATCTTCGCCGGCCAGCACGGCGGGGCCGTCTCGTGCGGGGCGTTCGGCATGGCCGGCAAACTCATCTGCACTGGTCCGCCCCGCCAGTCACCGACACACCAGAATCCATCCCTCCGTGGCATTGATTGTAACAGGTTCAGAGGATGGCTCTGCGGCTGTGTGGAGTCCGAAGGGCGGTGAGGCCCTCCACTTTCTGCGTCGGGCGGAGGAGCGGTCGGAGGGCAGCGGCACCAGCACAGAGGCCTTCCACACCGACGCCGTCGTGGCCATCGCGACACACCAGGCACGGGATATGCTGCAGGCAGAGGGCTCGCTCACATGGTCGCATCCCGCCTTCGCGTGTCTTCCTGTGCACATCAGAGTTTGCCGCTGATGGCGACTGGATCGGCCGACATGACATGCAAGGTGGTGCATCTGGAGAGCGGCAGGGTCCTCGCCACACTCGGTGAGTGGGTGGGTGGGTGATTGAGGAGACGAGAGAGACAGACAGAGAGAGAGAGAGAGAGGGCATATGTCGAGTGCATAGGATGACACCAGCTGTTGATAGGAAGAGAATGAGATGCATTACTTACGGCCGTCTCTGATTCATACTCTACCACGTGCAGCCTGACGCACCCCACCCGCCGGATGCACAACACACCCTGCCCTGCACACCCACTAGTGGATGGATGGATGGATGGATGGGCCATTGGATGCGTGTGTGCACGTGTGTGTATGTCAGGTGGCCACAGAGGCAGTGTGGAGGGTCTGGCTTTCGGATGTTGGGACGCACAGCCGACGCTCCTCGCCACGGGCGGACTTGACGGCAAGATACAAGTCTGGGACTTGAGGTAACAGAGCCAGACACCCACTCGCTATGACACACACACACACGGATGGTCAGTCGCATATCTCGCTCTCTCTCACATGATCAGTCGATACGAGTGTCGGTGCACCATGGCCCACACCCACATCAGTGGTGCTGAGGACACCTCCAACCAGCAAGAGCAGGAAGAGCAGCAGCGGGAGCAAGACAGCGACATCAGCGGCATCGTCCGTCTCAAGTGGTGCCCCGACGGCCGCCCGCTGCTCGTCAGCTGCTCGACCGACGCGACCATCAGGTGAACGCCCTGCACACACGCCTATATTCATCCATCCTTGTCCGTGTGGTGTGTGTATGTGTGCCGACAGGTTGTGGGATGGGCGCACCAGCCAGTGCGAGCGGCTGCTGACGGGCCACAGCAACGCGGTGCTCGACATGGACCTCCGTGTGGGGACGGGGGATGGTGGCAGCTGCCTGTGGGTGGCGTCGGGGTCTGACGACCACACGTGCAAGCTGTGGCGAGTCGAGCTGCCCAGTGTGTGAATGGATGGATGGATGATCGAGAAACGAGTCTTTGTTGTTGTACTATGGCTGTGTGCCGCCGGCGGTTGTTTGTCAGTTCGTTGGATCGAGACCCATGGTTGACTGAATGGATTGGATTGCCCGATTGGGCACTAACTAACCTGTCTGTTGGTCTGGTCCTGAAGCCTTTTGCCCATGTCAGTCAGTCTGTCTGTCTGTCTGTCTATACACCCGTACGCATGTACGCACCACAATTTCATTTCGTTCGGATCAGCCAGCCAGCCAGCCAGCCGGCCACTGTGGACGTAAATACCCATCCCTACCGACTCACTCGCCGCCATCCCATCCACTCACTCTTTGTCACCAACAACCAATACACCGTCATATAGATATGGAGAGAGAGGGAGGTAGATACGGACACCATATCCACCGACACGGATACCTATAGATCTCTAGGTAAGGCAGGGGGGCACCAACACGTATACATGCATGGACACGTACAGTCATTACATACACTTAGAGACACACACATACGCGCACACGCACGCACACACGAACGATTGAATGAATGAATGGAGGTCTGGGCTCCATGAACGAACAGCCAGACAGACAGACAGACAGACAGACAGGTAGGATTAGATAGGTTGGTTGACACGTAGATGTTAGCAAGCACGGATTAGATAGGTGCATGGCATGGCATACACTGACACACATACACACATACATACATGTGTATATGAAGTAGTAGTATGTATGCACATTTCCTTCCTTCCTCTTTTCCACAGTGAACACCACACCAAAAACACATATACAGATCCATCGACCATATCCAGCCATGTGTACTCATCCATCCATCCATCGTCAGTGTCGGTCGGCATACAGCCAGCCACATCGACCAACCAATCAACGCGCAGTAAGTATTCACACACAGCCAGCCAGCCAGCCAGCCCTCTCTCTCCATCTATCTATGGTCTATACACAAGTAGGGGTGGGCACGCAAAGAGAGCCAGACAGACAGACAGAGGGGGTGAGGTGGGCAACCAATCAATCAAATGAGACGGCAAAAATCAAAGCGCCGCCGTGGATATACTGATGTGACATGATCTGATGTGACGTCTTCTTCCTTCCTTGCTGCTTCCTTGCTCCCCGCCGATGGACGATGGACGATCGATGGACGGACCACAAACAAATAGAGAGAGTTCATACCATACACGGATATAGTATATACACCTCAGTCCCGCTGCCCCCCCCCCCCCCCCC